GGGGAGGATTTGGTTGCTGGGGTGTTTTTTTAAATAAATCACATTGGTACACAAACAAATCATTGCAAGTTAGGTGCCAGTGTAGATTTACAGCCAGTTAGCTGTAATGTGGTAACTCCTCGAGGTTAATTCAGGAACCTGATTTCTCAGCTTTTCGATTTGCGTATGGCTTTCACAAGCCTCCTGCACAATGTGATCCTCTGTGTTAGCTGTTCTGCACCAGCGTTGCTGGTATGGAAGATGAATTTGCTGCCACGTGAGGCTGCAGTGTCTGAGACTGTGGTCCCTGCAGTCTGCCATGCACAAGTAGCCCTCTGAGATTCACTGCCTTCCGCACACCAGGAAAAGCTCTTGAAATGCCCATCTGTGCCTCGCAAGACAAACAAAAAACACCACGCACGGACAGAAGAAAGAACAACTCATCCTGTGATGAATCAACTCACGTTTTCCTAAAAGACAAGGAAAAAACCATTTCTGAGGGAAGATTTTACACAACCAGGCAGCAAGAACTGTGTCACAGGCTTCAAGTATGTACCAAGCCTGTATGTACCAAGCACACGGTGGCTGTAACGCACCTCTGACTCAGACACGCCGGCTGAAGCAGAAAGTCAGATCTGCAGCTGCAAGGGTGAAACAGTAAGGTTTGCCCTGCCATGTCTCAGGGTGGGTCATAGAGAGGACTAGATGGCAGCATATGGTTAATCTCCAGCTCTTCTGAATCAATTGGACACTCTCCCAGCCAGCTTTGGGATACCAATGCCTTTGATGGACATGGAATGGGGATGAGTGGTGATGCAGTTCTCCTTCCAGGCATGATAATACAGCTCATCCTGTGAACAATTCCCTGTACCTAGAGAGAGCTAGAAAAAGCTGGGTGCTCTTGACTGATCCTGCTCTGGGTGGGATTTCCAAGGTAATAGTTGTCTAGAACCTCTCTTTTGTTCCCCATAGAAGCAGCCATCTGTCACTGCCCTGACTCAGCCCAGGATTAACAGCAATTTTTTTTCTTTGCCAGTGTTGCCCCAAGGCTTTTAAGTTATGAACCTCTTTTTATTGACAGATGTAAACCTAAAAAGACTCCATAAGAATCAATGCAATTTCTTCATATAAATATGGGCCCTGCGCATAACAAAAGAGAGAGAGAAGTAGAAGAAAAGAAGAAAGGAAGGAAAGCAAGTGGGTCCAAACTCAGCACCTGGAACTTTGGCTCCACTCACTACAAAATTTAGGAACAGGTATAATTCTTCTCACTTTCCTCATAAGAAAAAGTGAAGCTCATTCGCTCACTTTCACTCTGTCACAGTTTAGCCCCAGCCCACAATGAGGACTGCGCAGCTGCTCGCTTACTTTCCTCCATTGAGATGGGGAAGAGAATTGGAAGAGTAAAAGTGAGAAAACTTGTGGGTTGAGATAAAAGACAGTTTAATAGGTGGAGCAAAGGCCACACACAAGCAAAGCAAAACAAGGAATTCATTCACGGCTTCCCATGGGCAGGCAGGTGTTGAGCCATGCCCAGGAAAGCAGGGCTCCATCACACATAATGGTTACTTGGGAAAACAAACACCATCACTCCGAATGACCCCCCCTTTCTTCTTCCCCTGGCTTTATATGCTGATAATGATGTAGTATGGTATGGAATATCCCTTTGGTCAGTTGCGGTCAGCTCTCCTGGCTGTGTCTCTTCCCAGCTTCTTGTGACTTCCCAGTCTTCCCACTGGCGGGGTGATATGAGGAACAGAAAAGGCCTTGAATATTGTAAACATCACTGAGGAACAACTAAAACCAATAGGTATTACTGACATTCCTTCCACAGCAATTACTAGACAGAAAATTAATTCTTTCCCAGCTGAAACCAGGACACTCTCACACACTCTCTCTCACGCTGTCCTTCTCTTTTCCTAGTGATCTCAGAGACATCTACCTTAAATCAGCCATCCATGCTCTATGTTTCTTTAAACTGTAGTTGGATAATCTTCCAGATTCTGGGGTCCCATTATCAGAGGAATTCCTGGGGATGTTGCCCTCACTTGACGAAACTGAGTCACTAAGTTAACCAAGGACTGACTAACGAACTGATTCTTAATGTGTAGTCACCGTTTGAACTAATTTTCCCAAATCAGTTTCATTTTTGCACTCTTGAGTGTACCTGTGGCTCTTAGTCACATGCAAAAGCCCTACATGTAACACGGCCCCATATTAACATATATACTGAAGGATATGGCTTAGTATATGGGTAGTACACAGCTTAGACTTCTAGGCAGTCAAAAACAAGTAGGTATGTGCCATGTGGATGCGAAGCAAGCTGTGATTACAGTATACATACACAGAAGCATAGACAAATAAGTGAAAGTATGAATTAAAACCCATTTCACTCCTTAGATTCCATGCTGATTTCTCTGAGCTTAGCTGTCAGTGATGTTAAACTTAAGCAATCTAAAGAAAAATAATTCACTGGGGTAATAGTTAAAGAATTTAAAAGTGGAGACAGCTGGGGAAGTGTAAATGCACTATCAAGCAGATTTCCGATTTCAGAACTTTTCATGATGTAATCATGAACATACTACATCTGTTCATCTGAGATAAATTCACATGAAAATCCTCTGAAATTAAAGAAAAAAATGCTTTTCCTTGCTATTCCATGAAAACAAACAGTATTTTCTGTCTAACGTAAAGATCTCTTTTTTATATACCCTGCTATATAGCAAAACATTAAATAAAACCTGACCTGATGCTACCTTTTTAGTTTAGTTTGCAAAAATTTACAGTAAATAAGACCATACCATGCCATGTATGAAAACAGAGCTTCCTATAAATCATTGCAAGGTGATTTGCAAGCACACTCAGTCACCAGCATGGTGCTGGGGCGGGAGCTGGGGCTCATACCGAAGCAGGGCTGATGCCCATGAATACCGTGGTGACCAGATGGACCAGTGCCCCACACCACCCTGGGCCACCATGGCCACTGACAGCGATGCTGTTGCCTCCTGGCATGGACAGTAGCAGGGGGGGATTGAGAAGCCATCATGTCCTCAAGTTAATTTTAATGTAGTCAGTTTTGATTGTGGTTTAAGACCAGATGCAATATTTCTAGCATATAGATTTTTGTTACTGATGTCCACAGAGAAGCTACAAATTTTCATGTTACCTGTGCAAGCTGAGTTTTAAGAGATCCGAAATACTGACTTTACAATTTTTTGCTATTCAGTTACATTTTAATATTTTCAGTCAAACAGCAATGTGCTTAATGCAGAGGAACTTGCAAAGAAACCTTAATCCTAATTTTTTCTCATCTGTTTTCTTAAAAGGGAACGGTGGCACATTATTGTTGCACAAAGCTGGGTTTTCTCTTCTGCTTTTCAATATATTTAAGTAATTACTCTTGGAGACAGAAGGAGAAGATGAAAATGAGCCAAACAGCAGATTCTCACTTAGCAATCAATATTTTCCTGGCTCACAAACAGGTTTTTTTCCTAGGTTTTTAGTTACATAAATAAAGCGCTATGCAGTGCAAAGTCATACAATAATAATAAAACGCCTTGGGATGATAACATCAGAGTTTTCCATTGTTCACCAGATATTACTCCAGGGGATAAAATCAATCTGAGATTTCCCGTCTTTTGTATGTTGAGAATTGCCTCTCTGTCTTTCCACAAACAGATTTCTTTTACCACATTTAAGAGACCAAACAAAGCAAAAAGACTAAATAAACTTTTCCACATCTTTTAAAGAAATTCAGTCTTTGAATCAACAGTGCAGTTATTCACTGCAAAAGGTATTTCAATGCATTAGAAACAACTAAATAGCCACCGAAAGGCTATCTCAAGCTTGCTGGCATTTAACAATAGTCAGGTAGATGAAATTGATCTATTACACCACAGGCTGATTGGATAGAAAGAAATTTTTAAAACTGGCTTTATTGTATGCAAAAAGGTGTGAGAAGTAATATTTCCAAACCAACATGTTGTTATTCAGGTCCTAATGAATAGAATTTGCAGTATTCCTAGAAAGTACTCTGTTTAGACTCTCCGTGACTGTAAATTATGATGACTGGCCAAAAAATTGAAGACCAGGAGAAAAGCAAAAGAGAAACACTACTCCAGAGATATTTCTTTACTAATGGCACAATCAAAAATTGTCTTGAAAAAGGTTTATCCAAGTTATGTGTTCCTTTCATTCTGTGTGTTTGAAGAGTTTCGGGAAAGATTAAACAATCCAAATAGCGTGTAAAATCTGTGTTACTCAGTTTAATAATTCTTTCAACCCCAGCGACCGCTGAATAAAATCAGCAATAAAAATAACCACTGGGTGTTTCTATTTATCTCAGGAGACATCTGTGGATGTCTAATTGCAGAACAGTTTCATAAGTAATTGAAGCCAACTTAAGCCTCACTTACTGACAAAAAGCAGTTCCACCCTCCCCAATTGCTCTCCACTTTGTGTTACTACTTTGTACCTCCATAAGTGTTTCTCAAGTGTACACATAATCACCTGGAGCAATGAACTAACACACCTGAAAATTAACCCTATTTTTAAGAAGTGGTCCAGCTTACCACTTGGCCAAAGCTGCACAAACAGGAGAAAGGGGCCATGGCTCCGGGCAGGAGATGCAACCAGCCCTTTCAAAGGAAGCCTGGGCTGTGAGTGACCTCAGCCATCTGCAAAACCACCCTGGAGTTGATGAAATGTTTCTTAGATGGCATGAACTGGACCTGCAGGGGCCATACACAGGATATTACCTTGGCACTATTTTGGTTTGGATGAGAAGCACGCTTGACCACTGCACTTTGGGTTCATTTGAAGGAATAGGTTTAGGTGTAACTGAACTAGAAAATGCTTTCCATGGGCACAGCTCCTGCACTCAAGCTGCTAATGGGAGTCCAGTCCACAAGCTGAAAAGGAGTGTGTTAGGTTGAGTCTGACAGTGCTGACTCCCAGACTGGAAAGCCATGACCACAGCATATAATCTCTTTTTCTTCCACGTCTTGTGTCCTGTACCAGCCATGGCAAGGTAAGGTCCAAACTTTCCAACCACTTCCAAGCAGCCTGCTTAAATTTTTACCTTTAGTAATTTCATTTAATTCAGAAAGGTATTTCACATTACAGCATAAATTACACAGCAAAAGCATGACATTGCCAAGTCAAAACAGAAGCTTTTTTAAAATGAAACATTCCAGCTGACTTCAGACCAAGTTTTTTTCTCCCCCCAAAATGCCAGTTGGTGGGAGATTTCAAAATTTCAACTTCTGTTCCAGTTTAAGGTGAAAATAATTAATGAGGTTATTTCTTGAGGAACAGAAATTACCTGTTAAATCTAGACCTACTATACTTAGAATCATAGAATCGTCTAGGTTGGGAGGGACCTTTAAGATCATCGAGTCGAACCATCAACCTAACACTGCCAAAAACCACCGCTAAACCATGTCTCTAAGCACTACGTCTACCCGTCATACCTCCAGAGATGGCGATTCCACCACTTCCCTGGGCAGCCTGTTCCAATGTTTGATAACCCTTTCAGTGAAGAAATTTTTCCTAATTCCAATGTAAACCATGGCAAAGAGGTGCAGTGCCTTCTCAGCTGAGACTGGCAAAGAGGTGCAGTGCCACTAATCTGAGTGTGGTCGGTGTGGTTACACCCTTCTTAAATAATTTAAAGGCTTTGTGATAGCTCGCTTCCCCTTTCCCTCCTGCTCATGCTGCCCCTGGGCCTATTTTCTCTCTAGTTCACTTTCCAAAAGCCCAGCCTGGTGGAGCGATCTGTCTTGATACCTCAGCTAGCCACTGACTCAGGCCTGTCGGTCCCTTTCCTGGGGAAGTTTCTTCAGGGGAAAATGTGGTGTAGGTACACAGAAGATTGAACGTTCAGTCAAGCATGCATTCTCACATGAAGAAAAAAACCAAACCAAACAAACAAAAAAATACCCCAAACAATTTACTCCTTACAAATAATTTCTACTTCAAATTGATCAGGAAAGCAGTGAGTGCTACTGGCCAGGCAATAATACATGAAAAAGCAAGAGAGAAGTCTAGGAAGCTAAGCCAGCAGACATGAGTTACTAGCTTGCAAAGAAACACTGGGGGAAAAAAACACACCGGTGTACAGAGTTGGACCTGGAAGGGCAATACTGCAAGGAAAAAGCACTGGACCCAAATCTCAGTTGTATGAAGAGGACAGAGCAATAGTGAAGGATGAGCAGGCAGGCAGGCCCTTGTGGCTGAGGTAGGAAGGTGGGTGAGTCTGTGGAAGCCACAGCTGCAAGGTAGGGTGGGAGCTGGAGGCGGATATGAGGAACTGAGGGAAATCAAAATACCAAAGGAAGGATTTAAAGTTATTTGGGTTTAAATAGATTATTTTCCTATATGTTGATAACAAAAAATAAATTTCAGGTAAAGAAATTTCCATGAAAGAAGCATGGAAGCTAACTAATTTCATAAATTAACAAAAAGATTTTGAACCTTCTCTTAAAATGCTAACAAAAATATCTGTGCTTATATGGCTTATCTTTTTAGCTGAATTCACAAGGGTTTTTCCTGGGGGAACTCTGTAGCTCCTCAATGTACAAGCAGAAGTTAGAGATTACACCATGATTTTATAAAACCAGCTTCATGGTAACACATGCTGTTACCAGGCAGCATGCGTCTACTTCAATTGACCTTACCCAGTTACTTAATTTTATGACTCACTCTAAGAAAGGTTAAAGGCATCAAGGTTTCGGAAAGCTATACCGAATAATATCACTGTCAGAGATTACTCTCTCATATAATAGTTTCATTAAAATCAGGTAAATAGATGAAGGGTCATCAGGTAAGGACACTTAGTGAAATTCAAATTCACATTTCAAGGCAACAGCCCTGCTGCCTGACATACGTGCGTGCTCTACTGTCTCCCTTTTGGGAATGGGAAATATTTGCCTCTTTTTGACTTGCATAAATGACAGGAAACTCATACGAGGAAATCCTGGACAATCTTAGCATTTTTAATTAGGACAAGGGAACAAGGAGGAAGGGCAGCTCGGTGTGCTCATTTTAGGGCAGTCAACAAACATCTGTTGTTGTGCTTCAACACGTATTTTCAATTGTAAACCCATGGCTGACGCGTGGGTGGGGACACGCTCTGTGCAGCAGTGTTTGTTATACTCATGCTCAGGTTACACTGGGGGAAATGTATCCCAGAGCCTCTGCTCGGGAACCATCGCCCTGTGTCTCATCCCTTTCGATTGTCCCCATCTCCTTAATGCAATTTTGGGCAGATTATCTGTGGGCACGGGTTATCTGAAGTATGCTATGCCTTGATTGAAGGGATGGTGAAGCCACATTAAGGGCCTAAGAGGGGAAACTATTTAGTGTTTTATCACGTTGCGATGTTCCAAGCTCTTCTCTCTCAAGGTTAGGCTCGTATCCCTTCAACGGAGACTGTGTTCTGTAAATATCAGTGCTTTGGTAGCCCTTGGTGTTGTCAGCAGAGCTAATAAAACCAGCTAGCAGGGTGAGCTCACCCTCTTCGAGCTACTGCCTGCTACAGCCTTCTCACACGGTATCTTTCTCTCTTTCCTTGGGCCTGCCTCAATGACCAGCCCGAAGACAGGTTCCCCATGGGGAGTTCTGGGTGAGGACGCCTGATCCCTGAGCCCCCACGGCTGCCTCAGCAGTGGGTGCCGGGGAGGCTCTGCACAGGCATTTGGAGCAGCCACAGCAGCCCAGTGCTCACAGAGGGGCCTGGGAGAGTTTTGGGGTGAGGAACTGGAGAAGGCTCAAGTCTCGACAGAGCAGCTCTGTCGTTGGGTGGAGGCTCTAGCAAGGGCAGGCGCTGCCAGACAGATTTATATGTACACAGGGAAGATGATGATATTATTTAACCTCTTTGGGGAATCAGTCTAAAAACTCATGAATGAGCATCACTATCACTCCAGAGTTAACAAGCCCCTTAGAGTTTGGTGATTCTCCAGAATACTTGAACGATGCTCAAAGCCCTCAAAAATAGACACTGAAATTTTATGTCTGAGTATCAAAAGCTGTCTGATGTGAATCAATAAATGCCCAATTTTGCCCTACTTGAACAGTGGTGTACTGCAGCTATTTCTTTCAAAACTGAGTAAAAAGTGCACAGCACTCAGATAAACAACAACTTGGCTGAAGGGTTTAATTCTACCTCCTGATTAAGAAAAAAAATTTTTAGGCGAGTCGCACTAAGCAGAGGTTCCTTCACTTTTTCGGCACTTAGAGCAGTGAATCTAATGCAATAAATATCCTCATTTTCAACTTCTACTGTTGTTATCCCCATCAGAAGTCATCTGCCTTCATTGCTAGCGGTGCTACCAGGGAAGCACATGCTGCTTCTCTACCCTGCTGCTAGGTTGTGTTCAGCCACTAGTTACTCTTCCAGAAGTACAGTACACTTTTGTTTTCCCCTAGATATATGAGATTGCACTCGACTTTTTTTAGGATTCACTTTCTTTGAGCGGATCCAATTTACCCTGGAATCCAGATCGCACTGTGCGATGTCTGTTGCCATCGTGATTTATTACTTCATCTGTGCTTTTGGCATCTGCAAATACAGTCGCTTGATGGTTTTATATTTGTTTCCAGATTATTCATAAAAATATTACCTAAGGTCAGGTATGTATGTTTTTGATGCTACTTTGTAAGATCTATCATACAGCATTTCTTATTTCCTGTGTATCTTATTCATATTATGTAATGTTAATTTATTTCAGTTTGAAGGCCATAAAAGACGAAGTTAAATACCCTGCAGAAGTATATTACATCAGTACAGTTACAAAACACAATTATATTTGTAAAGTTCATCAGACTACAGCCTGAGTTCAGCTTGCCAAGTCTTATTTCCAAAACCACGTAAGTGAGCATCAATATGCTTTTATTGACTGAACTTAATCTTTTACATTTTATAACTGATGAGTTCAACCATGTCATTTGAGTCCAGCATTGGAGGACTTCCATTGTATGCTCAAAAATTATTAATAATAATTAACAGCAAGATGGAAAGCTTATCCGCCAATTCTTCTAGGATTATTTGGTGAAAGTTCTCTCTGCCTTCCTTTTAGAATATTTATTCCTAATTAATGTTGTTTAATACTTACATTGTCATTGTGGGCTGGAAAATTATCCAATGCCCTAATCAGATAGAAATACATCCTTTTGCTCCTCCCCAAATACTGCAGATAACTGTTGAACATTTCTTTGCACCATTAGCACTCTCCTATCAATCTAGTACTGAGCCTTAGCTGTTGTTTTACCTTCTTTTGTTTATACTTTACATTTCCTTCTATTGTCACTAGTTTCACTAGGCTTGACTTTTCTTTGGCTTCATTTAGTTGTTTTTATTGACATATTTGCGATTGCTGTCTACTTCTAACTATTGTCTTTCCTTCCTTTTCCAGAAAGAGGTTTTAATAAAATTGTGCATTTAAATATTTAAAATATTGTGAAACACTTACCATGTAATGAAGTCTTCTGGTACACACCCTAATTTTCATTAATATTGTTAAGTTTCTCCTCTAATATGTTCTCAGATTTTCTTATTTTTTAACTAATTTTTTTTTTTCTAGGAAACTAATCGAGCAGATGGAGACAATTTATCTGTATGTGTGTATCTAAGTAAATACATACACATCTGTAAATGCCTACTCAGCCACAAAGACGTGCGCATGTAACAGATCTTGGCTGAGCCTGTGCTCTGTCTGTCCTTATTTGACGTAATTGGTTGTGAGCACTGATCTTCACGCCACCACAAGCTTCCAGCCTTGTGCTCATTCTAGCCCTTCCCACCATGCTCAGGTCTGTCTGTATGCCACCTACTTGGGACTGGAAAATTATCGCCAGTAATTCCTAAAATTTCTAATGCAGTTTTACCCCTGTCTTCATGAGACTTCCATTCCCCATATGTCAATGATGACAATGCCGTTTTTATTTTCACATATTATTGACAGGCACTTAAGGGCTTATTTGATTTTTTTAATGCTTTTTTAAAAAGCATTTTATTTTTATATTTCATGATTTAATGTTTTCGATACATTATTCATACTTACATTGTCAGATTCTAAATCAGTGTGTGATTTACCAGAATCTTTGCACTTAATTATCTTACAGTGGTTAATGACATTTTATCACATTATATTATTAATGCAATGATATGCAAAGAAATAAAATTTGGGTGTAACTGAGCTCTAAATCTTAACCGAGTGACACCAAATGTAAAACAGCAATAGGCAAAATTAGAGTTCAGCCAGTGGCTTGGTATTACTATTTTCCTCGCAATTTATTTGATACTAAAGAAAACCAGTAACTGAGGGAGGAAGTTCGTTGACTTGATTCTGACTGACAAGATTTCACATATGCTGGAACATGCTTTGTTGCAGTTTCTATAACAATGTGTACTGCTGTCCTGATTTTTGTGGTTAGAGATATAACTCTTCTTAGATCTGCTTTTATTATTCATCAGCGGGGTAGCATACGAGTAAATAGTAAGCACAGGAAATATTGCTGTCCTGCTGTCATTACATATTTGATTTGGCAAGTTAATAACATGACTGTAAAAGCTGTTTATATGAGATAATCATCACTGAAGAGTTTGGGCCCAGAAAATGGCGATATCTTCCTCCAAAACCACATCTGTGATGGAAATTTCCAAGAAAATCACTTTGACAGGAGATTACTAGTTTTACTGCAGCCCAGATGCAAACTGAAAGATACCAAACTTGCTGATGCTTTCATCTTGGAGCTGCCAAATCTACTGCATTTCCCTTTTTATTTCTTACTCAAAAGTGGGTCATACTTGACTTTGCTTCTGTAAAAATATTAAGTTACAGAAAATACGTTGGATACTGGAAAATATATACATATATTGAGACATGCCCAGATATTAGTTTTTCTGATTCTATATTCAAATGTCCTCAATATTAAAGAAAAAAGTAATAATCTGCCATAATAAAAAATACAGTGCCCAAAAGATATTGAAACCTGTCCCAACTATACCTAATAGAGCAGATGCAACTTCTAGCCAAGTGAGAAAAAGAGAGACAGATCCCAATTCACTTATGTGCATTACTAAATGTATCATAATGTTTCCAGTAGTTATAGAAATAAGTGGGAATACTACCTTTGCTCTTCAGGTGTTCACATACTTGGGGACACCTAGAAGGAATCTGCTTTTATTTTTATTCATCACAGGGAAAAATAACCCAACAGTTGCTTTGGTAGGTTGCTTTGACAGCTGCATTAAGGCCACCATGTGATATTTGTACATGTTCAACTCCTTCCAGGATTCTCCCTTGGTTTCGGTAGTCATTTCCACTGTGGGCAGCGAAGCTCCTTGCATGGGGATGCATGACATGAGAGACCATGTCAAGAAAAATCACAGCTTTGTTTCCACAGCTCAGCAGTCCTTGGGCACCTTAACTTCTATTAAAATTAAACTGCGTTTGTGCTCATTGCCAACACAAGGACATGCCTCGTGTCTTCTGTTCCATTGCTCCATGTTGTTATTTGCCACAGACATCCCCATCACAGCTATCATCAGAGTACTGGGTGAAAAAGTAAGGGGCTGAAAACAGGTAGAACACAGAATCAAGGTCCTTTATCACCTTTACAAATAGAGAGAGCAAAAAGAAATTTCTCCCAAATAGCTATTGTAACTGTGTATCATTTTAGCCATCACGCCTTTCCCTATTTTCTTTGACAGTGGGAGCTGACGATCCATGGTGCCGGCACAATGCCTGTGGGCCATTGCTGTCCACAGCTGAGAAAAAATTAAAAAAAAAGAAAGAGAGAAAGAGAGAAAGAGAGAAAGGGAAAAAAGAGAGAAGAAAGAAAGAAAGAAAGAAAGAAAGAAAGAAAGAAAGAAAAAGAAAAAGGATAAAAGGCTTCTTAGCATGTTTCTGAGCCCATTTGTAGTTTCCAGGACAACTTGTTGGCCTTAGAAACTGTAGGCAACTTGCAGAATTCCTTCTCAACAGAAATCCAGCAAAATAACTGCGTCTTTTCTGCTATTCACCTGGCGAGGTTTGATTTTATTATTTATTCCAGGTCACAGATCATGGAAAATGATGTGCTCCTGAGCTGAGACATACATATGTATGTACATCCAAAAATTGCAACTGTTTACCGCACCCTCAGTATACTCAAGAACTAATATATTAGCTTTTGTTGGATTTGAGAAGTGTTATGCAGCCTCTGACTAGGGCCTTGAGGCAAATATTTGGAGGCTAAATGAAAGGGGTGGGAAAGTAGGGCTTTAGCAATGTTCAGGGTCAGTATCCTGAGATGCTGAGGTTTTATTTCATCTACCTGAACTGTTTCAGGTTCTTTTTATTTGTTTTACCTGTTTAGGTACAGACTGAGCAAATAAAGTACAGTGATAAATTGGATTAAGGGTGGAGGGACTTTTGCTATTGAACCTGACATTCTTGCAAATTGTTTTTATAATCAATAGAATAAATCACTGACTAATAGCGACGGACTATTTGTGCATAATGCATTGGCGTAGTTGCTCTTCGCCAATCTTTATATCCTTTATATTACCCTTTTTTTTCTGGCTACTGGCAGTTTTAGCGGGGAGGCGGACAAACTGGCAAAGGGTAATCTGATTTTATATTTTGTGACATTAAAAGGGGAAAGCTCTCAGACAGCACGTGTGAACCTTGTACAGGGTTATTTATAGAAGACTCTTCTGTTCCTCAGGGAAACAAAGAAACCTTTACAACCCTGTCTAAAGTACGGGAACAATCTAAGTTAAAGCCTGCCTGAGGGCAAGCCCTGTGTAACAATTCAGAGTTTATCCTTGGACAGGGAGCGTGTTGGGTCTTGGCTGTACTCTGTGTAATCATTTATACTTCTGTGAAGTAACTGCAAAATACCACCTTCTGTCTGACTTAGGCTTTGATTGTGTTTTATGTGGCTCCGTGGAGCTATATATGAAGAAAACTTCCAAAGAAGAGATTGCATCTGCAATCCTCTCATAGATCGATCACAGGCTGTTAAGTATGTTAGAAATGCTGTTGCAGAGTGCTCTGGCAAGCTTGGCAAGTTGTTTTACAGTGGCTTAAGAAGGTTTTACCTCAGCTTCCAACTCCACTCCTCTGCTGGAATTGCTGTCTACACAGCAGAGCTGGTGGGGGCAATGTGGATTCGTGACTTAGCAGCTCTAGTGCAAAGGTTACCATTTTAGCAACTGCAAAAGTGGGTGGATTTGCACTAAAGTGCCAATCTGACTATGAGAGATAAGCACATGATACCTTCTGCTGGGCTGGAGGGTTGGGAGTGCAGACAGAAGGAAAGGTGGGTAACCTTTAGTTTATGGTTGGACTCGACGATCTTAAAGGTGTTTTCCAACCTAAATGATTCTATGATCCAACAGGAGGGTGCGAGTGGCAACATCCTAAATTGGCACAGCGTGACCACCAGTACTAGCTGGTTTGAGTGACCCGCTCATCAGGACAACGATAATTTATGGTTTTAGGTACATTTCTTCTGGAAGCTACTGCATTTAAATCTCCAAGCAGAACTGGCAAAAAGGAAGATGTTCCTGCTCCTTACCTGTTTTGGTGCAAAGTCAAGCAGTTAATTCAAGTGAAATTTTGCATTCATAGCTGCAGACCAAAGTTTGTTCCTGCTGCTTCTGCTGCAGGGCTGTGGCACCTCACAGAGGGGCACAAGTGCAAATTTATCATAGAGGTGCCAGGACTTTTGCCACCTCCTCGCCCTTATGTGCCTGCTGTCTGCACGCTCTCCCAGGCCCAGTGATGCGCTCACTGCAGGTTGCAGTCTGGGGCAGCATGTCCTTCAAAGCCAGAGGGGCTGGGAGTCAGCATGCATCCTTTCTTTTTGTCCTTCCTTGTGGCCCCAGGCTGTCACTCTACTCTAGACCCTTCAGATGCCTATCTCGAGGTGATGGGGAGCAATAATCTAATGCAAAGAACAGCAGTCTCCTGTCCCATTAGCACTGGGGCTTTGCAGTGTTGCTCAGATAGGAAGGGCAGTTTTAAATCTCTACAGGCAGATTCAGCAAAGCTTATCTGTCATATCCATAATTGACAAAAAGCTTTCAAAAGCAGCTGCAGTAACCACTAATCCAATCTGGTTTTATTCCTAAAACCAGAGAAGTGAAGTCACTAAGACCCTCCCAGAGGTAGGTATGCCTTTACCCCATCTAAACCCTGTGATGGTGAGGTCAGCAGACCACACACCCCGCACAACAGCCGATTGCTGCCTAAAACCTCAGAATGTAATTCTCCTGACTTCATCATGTATTGGAGAAATTCCCTTATCTTAACAACCTGTATTCTTGTCCCTCATAGGAGCAACATGGAGTATTCTTCTGTTTATGAGCTTAGGAAGACTTACAGTAAGCAACACTAGAAAGAAGAAATAATCTTTGCTGTGATGGCAAGTTGTGAAATCACGGTTGGCAGGCTTTGCCTGGCCTGCAGAGGATAGGTTCCTCACTTTTGCTCTGAAATGAGTCCTCACGGTCACATAGGTTTCACTGCTACCAGGATGCGCAGCTCGCCTTTTTTCAGTGCTCTACTTAACGCAAGTAGTGCTGCAGGAACAATACCCACAATCTTCTTAACAATATATATCCTGAGAAGGACAAATATCCAGCAATGTTACACCGGGGATCTCACGTTGTGCAAAATTTTATTTCTTTTTTTATATACCCTGCATTATTTGAAGCATGTTTTGGTGGGATTATCACATTTGGTTTTGTTTCTTTCTATGTGTAGATTCTGCCATTCCTGTATTTCTGCAAGTTTAAAGAATAATGCATCGATGTGCCCTTAAAGCTGTGCTTATCTTCCTTCTGAAAGAATTCCAGCTACTGATATTGCCAAGAAAATGGAGAGCACATACTGAAATTGCACAGAAACTGAAACACAGGTTTGCAACTTTGAACACTAATTACTAAATAATTCCAGAACTGTATCAATGCACAAGAACTAACACCATTAAGATACCTTTTTAAGGCCATGTCTAAACACAGAAACTTGACCAGTGTGATAACAGAAGAATAATTTTTTGTGATTTATCACATTCCATATCTAAAAGACCTCTAAAACACTCCACCAGTGCCATTGCAAATATTAACCTCAAGCCTAAACCTATGTGAGCTGAATCTTCTTGGCTTTGTTGGCTTTGGCCAGAGAAAGGACATATCACTTTTTTTCCAATACTAGGATTCCCTAATTATAAAAATCCTGGCCACAACTGCATCTGTGAAAATACATGACTTTTTTTAAAAAAAAACAAACAACAAACCAACTCTCCCTCCCACCTTGGGTAAAGCTACCTAAACTGAGACTTTTTCCTTAAATGAAAATAAAGCCTTTGAAACACCACTTACTCACGTGCAAATTAAGTTTTAAATGCTACTGTTAACTGGAACACGTTAATCATGTTTCATTGAAACAAGGTGCAGAGGAAAAGGTTAACAGGACTTTGGGGTGGAGGACAGAGAATATATCAATAGGAAAAACATTTAACCAAGATTTAATTCATACATGTTTTCTTGAAAATGAGTGTAAAACCAAGTATTTTCTCCCATGTTTGTAAATATTTAATTCTGTGCCTCTTTCTGTATAATGAACACTCTTCAGTCCTCTTCCCCCCTCATATCTTTATACCTGTGTCGGTTTCTGAAAGGAGATAGTACAGCTAAGATCTGACTCACGCTTATTTTTTTCTCTGACCAGATCCTCATCTGGCTTTCATAATTTCCCTTGTCTTGTTAACTGCAAAACAATACCCTTCAGTCTTTCTTGTCTGTCAGCAGCAGTGTGAAAACACCATAAACTGTAAACCAGCAAGTAACCGTGTCAACTCCTGTAAGACTGCTATTTACGGGGTTGTGGGGAGTTACAGAGAACATAAGAACAGCAAAAAAGTTTATTTGCTGTTAACACTATTGGTTCTTTACCTTTTTTTTTTTCATGGATTTTCTATCTGGGAAAGATTTGCTTAAAACTAATAATGAAATGCATGAACACCTTGATATTGACAGGTGCTAAACATTGAATCCAATTTCAATATTTTTTAAAATCATTTTTTGCAGAAGGAACCCAAATGTAGCAGGTATGCTAAGAAGCGCTGAGCAACGTATGGCTTAGAATGGCTTCAGTACTTCGCAGAGTCTGAGCACTGCTTTTTTGCTGTTCAGTGGCAGAGCACAATAAGTCATCTAAGTATGGATATCTGCAGGGGTTTATAATCTTTCTTGCGGCTGTAGAAAGTGTTGTCTGTATTTTTTTGCATACAGCCATCAGTGAGGCCACTAAGAAATGTTGAAAAAGACAGTGTGTTTAAAGCATTATAGCGTCAAGACACCGTTGTATGTTGTTTCTGATATTTGGCACACTACCCTCAGCAGATGCTCCTGTAGTGCTTCAGTCACACCAGTGCATGGATTGCTGTGTTGGTATAAACCTAACTTCATCGGCAGTTTCCACTCAGAGAGTGGAAATTGCAATTAAGTGACTGCAGCCTGAGTATTTTCATTCTGCTGCATCTGCAGTCAGGATGATCGTTTGTAGTGGAGCCATGGCACAGACATCTGGGACAGGGTTATACTGCATTTCTTCACCAAGATTCACCAGAACTGGTCATCAATGTTTAAAGGTAAAGAATATAGAACAACCTATAAGTAAATTAATGTCTCTGCACTGTTTCTGTGCAGATATTTTAATATCTCAACACGGTGACTTCATATAATTTCATATTCTTTCTGGTCATAGAAAATACCTCATGATTGTTCTTCACCAGGCTTGTTATTTGGAGGTTCTGAGTTAAAGGAAATAGGACAGCCGGTAGCAAGAGCAATATAAAATCCAAATGTTATCCTTAATGAATCTATAAAAAAGTTTTGGCGATGACTTCACTGAGGTCAGAATCAGGCCCTCATTTTGGAATATTTTTGTTTTTAACAGAGTTGATCTAGATTTTCACCATTAACAATGGAGCAAGGTGTGAACGAGGAGGGTGTCCCCCCCCTAAAACTAGAAATGCTTCCCTTTTGCCTCCCGAATTTCATTCTAAAATATTAAGAGCCAAATCACTGCAAACCAATAATTATCTCAATCAGCTTGACTTTACTCTTATAAGCTGAATGTTTTTATTATAAAATGTATTAGAGCAATACTGAACCAGTAACAAAATGCTTGAGGAACTGAGCCAGTAGTCGATGGAGATGTGTATTCTCCCCTAGGTATAGCCACAGTGTTGTGGTCAGGCTTTGAACTAGAAAATATTCAGTGATGTATTAGTGGGAATGTGTCATGGTATAAAACACAACAAGCTGCTGCTTGTTATTGCTTAGGTGAAATGAGTGAAATGAGAGCTCATTTAATAACTTGTGAAAAATATATAGAAAAATATGGACCTGTACAGGAGCTTGGAGATGTTGCATAAGGTAGACTTCAGTGTTGATGACTTTGTAAAAGCACTTTCAAGTTTGTTATCCTAACATAGTAAAGTCAAACTGGTAGAAGAATTCTCTGGGTTTTTCTTTTTATTGGAACTCATTTCTGTTTCATAGAATTCAGCATGAATCCTTTACTAATATTTTTAAATCATAATACTCAAATAGTACTTAAAATGGACACTAATTATTTTTTTGTCTATGACTACAAAACAATACATTTTACTTGCAGTTAGTATGATTTTGATAGACTTTAGGTCCACGTGTCCTGTTTTGTAGAAACAATTGTATTTTGAGAAGTCAGCAGTTTTTGCTGTTTCTCTTGGGGGAGAATTATGTTTAAATTGTGTTTACTTTCAAATAAAGCTCCTTGAAAATGTTGATTATTTCCAGAATGAATAAGACTAATAATAATCTAAATGTAATTGGCTCTCTTCTAATAATTTGTTCTTCAGAAATAGTTTTTGAATTAAGACAGACAGCTTTTCTTATTTATGCACTTGTAGTATATATAGAATATATATATATTTACAGAATACACGTGCGTTGTTTGTCAAAAGTTCAAATTCATTGTCTCTTTCATTCTCTTTGAGGGCAGGACCTGTTAGAGCAATCAATTAGGCATGTAGCAATTCTAGAATAAGTGAGGTCTTGAGGTTCAATGGGCTTTAGTTTCATCCATTAACAATTAGGACCGATTTTGATATCATTACTAAAACGCTTTTTTGATTTATGTAATTTAAAGTCCCTATACTCTTTGTTATTTGAATTCCTAAATGACACACTATTCAGGCTGCTTGCTTAGAAGACCTATCTCCTTACCAGTTACTGTTCTTCTGATGGTTAGTAAAACTTGAACTTTCATCCACACGCACACACGCACTTAAGCACTGCACTAACCCTACAACAGTGTCTCCACCATGCAAAAAGACCATACTCTGTGCTGACAACTAAGCAGGAATCCTCTGCGAGAAAGTGTCGATACTTAATGAGGGCTCCTGAGAATTGGTAGTTTGGTCACGCATATGCTCCGAGTGTATCACAGCAATTAAATGAGGCTTTTATCAAATGTCCATGGTTGTAGTGTTCAGTATTTTCATCTGTTCTTCTCTAAGGTCACAGTTATGTTAAAAGTGCTTTTCTGGATCAATAACCTGACATGCCGGCACAGTTCTGTGCAGTGTTCACAGCATGCATTAGCAAGGCTGACCTTTTGCCAGGCTAGCATACATCCCCCCCAGGTATATGTCATACACCTGTGCTGCATTTTAGCTATGGTAAAAGAAGGTTCTAATGATATCTGGCCAAAGAAATATCAATACTTCTTTTACTGCTTGCAGTACTAAAAAATGTGTCTGTTATATCTGCATCCATTAACAATATACTACCTCTTATTCCCAGATATTCCTGTCCTTATTGCCAGCGCGGAGTAGATGAGGATGAGCTATTGGGCCACTGTCTCACCACAGATGGGAAAGGAGAGCAGTGGTAATGTACATAAGTATACATTTTACTGAATTCATGTGTTAAACTGATTAATTCTAGCAAGCATTACTTATAGGAGATAGTAAACAAAGAGAAAATATATTAATTGGTTTTGACAGTGGAGGAAAAATGCACCTATATTCATTCCCTCTCCCCATTTCTCACAGACAAGCGTGAATGCACATAGTATTTAAAATACTAGTACTCCTATCAGTGTAAGCGCTGGCAGGAGCACTGAAAACAGTGTAGGAAGTCTTATGATGGATACAACAGTTACTTACAGCCAAGACAAGTAGCATTATTAGGTTCAGTGACTTGCCTGCTTTTAAATCCCCCATGTGCTATTTCTACTGCCCTAACTCAGATTTATGTGCAGCATTTGCTGTGTATTCTCATCTGGGGTTTGAGGTTACAATTTGAGAACTGCTTCTGTGGCCTTATATAGGAGTCTGTCATAGTGGGGTTTTTAATTATTTTTTTTTTAAGTTAAGATAACTTCACATAAATGGCTTCATTCTGAAGGTCCACGGAGGCTGTGAGGTCTCACTGTGACCCTGTTTGTAGGATGGAGGTCCATAGGGTGTCGATTCGGATTTTGACAAGCGTAATTTATTTCCCTGATTGTTATTTGCTGAGGCATTTTAGACTCCGATTCTCACATCTCGCAGAAGAGGTGTTCTAGACGGGTTACAGACTGAAGGACTTGTAGACAAATCAACCAACGCTCCCGTTTTCTGCAGCGGGTCGGATGGGGGAAACCCACTCCATTCGCTTTTACATCGCAGGTTAGTTTTTTCACCACTTTAACCATGATCATATTAGTAAGTTATCGTGGAGCCACAGCTCCGAGTAAATTAAAGGAAGCATTCACTCAGAGTGTATACTGTGCTTATGTGAGTTAATGCTTTAATGTATAACATTTTGCCAAATTTTGTATTTTTCAGATGAGACTCTATTTACTTTGGTCAACTGAAAAAATTGTCAATAATTTTTATCACACCTATCAGTCCATAAGCTCTTATTTTTTCACTCAGGGCAAATTCATAAATGGCTGTATTGTGTAGTTGCAGGACAGAATTAATCCTTAAAACCTAGAAAATTATTAAATCCTTTGCTCAATTCAGAGTTGCATATATAAGCTGATCCTGAGAGACTCATGAGTAATATGCATTATACAGCTTCCTTTGCACACTTATTTGAAACCTAATGTAAAAAACAATATTCAAAACTATGTTTGCCTACAAATAATGTAAAAATTATAAGCAGGGAAATGAAAATGTCATCTTTTAAGTCACAGTCATGGGCCTGTGCAAACCTCATGAAGTTCAGCAAGGCCAAGTGCAAGGTCCTGCACGCGGGTTGGGGCAATCCCAAGAACAAATACGGAGTGGGTGGAGAATGGATTGAGAGCATCCCTGATGAGAAGGACTTGGGGGTGTTGGTGGATGAGAAGCCCAACATGAGCTGGCAATGTGTGCTCGCAGCCCAGAAAGCCAACCGTATCCTGGGCTGCATCAAAAGAAGCGTGGCCAGCAGGTCAAGGGAGGTGATTCTCCCCCTCTACTCCGCTCTCATGAGACCCCACCTGGAGTACTGCGTCCAGCTCTGGGGCCCCCAACATAAGAAGGACATGGACCTGTTGGAGTGGGTCCACAGGAGGGCCATGGAGATGCTGAGAGGGCTGGAGCACCTCTTCTATGAAGACAGGCTGAGAGAGTTGTGGTTGTTCAGCCTGGAGAAAAAAAGGCTCTGGAGAGACCTTATTGTGGCCTTCCAGTACCTAAAGGGGGACTACAGGAAAGATGGGGAGGGACTTTTTGCAAGGGCATGTAGTGATAGGACGAAGGGGAATGGCTTCAAACTGGAAGAGGGTAGATTTAGATTACAGATTAGGAAGAAATTTTTCACTCTCAGGGTGGTGAGGCACTGGAACAGGTTGCCCAGGGAAGTTGTGAAGGCCCCATCCCTGGAGGTGTTCAAGGCCAGGCTGGATGGGGCTTTGAGCAACCTGGTCTAGTGGGAGGCGTCCCTGCCTATGGCAGGCGGGTTGGAACTCGATGATCTTTGAGGTCCCTTCCAACCCAAACCATTTTATGATTCTATACTGGCTTCATAACTGTTATAGTTGGTTTATAAATGGTAGACACCACATCGTTAATACAAAGCAAAGGGCGGGAACATGCTGAGACATGCACTTTGTTGTTTGCTACTGACACGCTGACTTTTCCCTTTAATTATGAAATACCTTAGGAGTAACTGTTTCAGGACTTCAGGAGTACCTGAAAAAATGATTTGGCACAGCTATTTCAACCTTTTTATTTCAAACTTAGAATAAACCCATCAGACATTTAGTTCAAAGAAAGGCATGGGATTTTTTGGCATGTTGTATCGTAATGTTCATTACCATAACATGTCATAAAGCTGGTTTTAGTCTACACATACTATATTCACACATGGTGTATTCCATGATAATCATCTTTTTAGCATACACACAGTGTTCTCATGATACTGCTTGAAGAAATAAATGTTGCAGTAACAGCAACTTTTATATTACAGAGAACCCACAGGAAGTAATTCAGCTTTTCTTTGATGAAGTGTTCTAGGCACTACTGTTGTAAGCACACAGATGAATTAATTTGTTATTGATGACTGGAGAAATCTGTATGTTTCTTGTAGCACTTTATAACAAATATAGATAAACAAATAAATTATTTTTTATTAGTTTATTATTTGAATGATAAACATGGATACATGAATTGTTTGGCTGACAAATTTTATATTGGATAAAACAAATGCTTTTGTGTAACAGTTCTCTTGTAGCTAGTTCGAGGGAATATATTAACAATCAGATCTATATAATTTGACAGTCCTTGGGATGTCTACAGACACAAATTACGCATCAGAGATCAGCATAATTGACAGCTGGTCTGACAGTGCATTGTGCCTAGCAGCATTTGTCTTGCTCAGAGAATGTCATTTGGCCATAACAGACCCACTTATTTCACATTTCTGGTTTTTTAAGCACTGATAATATTTCTTCTGCAAGACCTCCAACATGATAATTGGATACTTCCTTCCATTTATTTATAATGTTGTCCAATTTGTTGTTTAACACCTGGGAGAGATCCAAGCTATTTCAGCAGAAATTTTATAAGGCATCTTCAACTCAGACATGCACTCCATTACGAAGATCACATAGTCAGTAATGGTATTTGCAAACTACTGGACTTGACTTCTTTATGTGCATCTTCTTCCACACCTTTTACAATCAAGAAATCATGAAACGAACCGAGCAGGTAACTGCACCATGAAGTCATGAAGCGTGGCAGCTGTGTACAGAAATAGCATAGTCTGGTACTCAGAGTTGCCTCTGTCCTCAGTTCTGTTGCTGTCTAACGGTGGGACAAGGGAAAAGAATGCCATTACCTCATTTCTTAAGAGGTGTTATGCACCTAACTCGTGTTTATAATTGATCTGGAGATCCTCAAATGAAAACCTATGTACTTTAAATGAAAGTTGTTTCAACAACCCATTTTTATTCTGTAAGCACCTAAGATGACACAGTTGCACTTCCGAAAGGTGCTGCAGCTGTTTGCTGAGTGGGCTGTAAAATAGAAAATGCAGCACAAGCATTAACAAGCAGAATTTCCCAAGAATATCAGTGCTTTCCTATATTTATGTTTGATACTCATCCAGACAAAATCCAAAAGAAAGATATACAACTTTTTTTTTAATGGGCAAAAGCACTAGAGAAAATGATGTCCAAAAGGAGGGCGGGGTGAAGAAGCATCTTAATAATTTGAACCTATAATTCATGCAAATGGCAGAAACAGGCCTATGTATGACAGCATTTTAATGATAGCTCACACATATACAGCTTCATAAAGTATAGCTAAGACTTAAGTATCTATTTCTATATATAGTAATATAACATGCATCACCAAATTGGACTCTTTAATAAATAGCATTAGCATGGTTGGGTTTTGCATAATCACTGAATTAATCTGTTTCTGCATTTGATATTCTCTTTTATTTCAAGTTGTATAATAATTTCTCTTGCTTTATGTTGCAGTGTTTACCACTACGAAGTAAACTTTAAATATGGATGTAAACCCACTGAAACCAGTATTTTGTTAACTGGTAACCCAAGCAGTCAAAATTAAATCTATTAACACTTTAATTACTATCTTGATAGTCAATAAAATATCCTTTTTTTTTTTCTTTCAGGACATAAACAGCATTGGAGAAGTCCTTGTTGAAAGAGTTCTGGATGGGTCGTTCTTAGAATATGTGCACGTGAATCATCCAAACAATGCATAAGGACTACTGCAAAAGAGTGGAAGAACGTGTTCTTTAAGTAAACATGGTTATTAAAAATTAGCCTTTTGCAATTAATGGAGTGTTAGTAGCATGCATGGACCTAGAAATGTTGTGGGTTTTTTTTTTTCCTTAAGCACTGTTTTGTTTCTAAATTCTTTTTTTATTAATTGAATTTCAGTTTCATTTTAAAAATGTGTTATGTTTTGTGGTTTTTTTTTTGTTTTTTTTTTGTAAGGATAGAAGAAAATATTGTCAGTTCCTCTATTTCAAACACAATGGTCCTGAACTCGCTGCTAGTCCAGTACACAGAAACACTGGCTGTGACAGCAGCCTCTCCTATTTGTTTGCAGCTCCATTCCAGGAGCAGGCCAGTGTTGTGTACATTGATGCTGACAATGCAGTGCTGGAGGTAGATGACAAACAGCAGCTTTTCGGATGCTACACAACCAAACAAATTGGAACAACCCTCCCTTTAAAACAGTATCAGGCATACTACCTACTATCAAGGACAGTATTACTGACCCCATAAGACTGCACATAAGTCTCCATTTACAGTGCAAGATGCAACTCAAAATTAGCAAAGTTGCTAAGTGAAAGCCATCTTGAAAGGATAGCAAGAAGTGAATCTTATGTTTATAATAAAAAAAATAGAAACCTGTTCAAGAGATTGACAGCATCTTTTAACTAACTGTATTCTTACTATGTAAGTTAAAAAAAGAGTATGTACTTTTTTTTTACATGTACATTATAACATAGTATCTTTCAAAGATGCAGTTGATTTGTAAAAAAATAAAATTCATGTTCATGCATAGAAGCATGTACAGTGATTAAATCAGCTTTAATTACATGGTATCGTGTTAACAAGGAAACGCCCAATAGTTTAGGTCTTTACTGGTTTTCCTTGAAATCAGAAAGTGCCTCCTTTTTGGGAAGAGAAATATTCAAATTTTCATGTGCTTGGGAAAGTTGCTTTCCTTTCTCTTTGGGAATGAAAACTCCTCAGTCACAAAGATGGACAATGCTGCTCCAAAGGGTGGAATTTGTAGGAACTTGGGTAATTTGTGGGAATTTGAATAACTAAAAAAAAAAAACAAAAACCATTAAAAAAATAATCAAATCTGGTCTGCCAAAGCAAAGTAGCCAGAAATATAGGGGAAACGTTATTTGATTTATGGCTTCCTGTGCATCTAAAAAATGTATGGAGAACTTTTTATATGTATGAAATAAGCTACCACTGTAGGAGTGTTGTCCTTACTTTTGTCTGTGGCTGCAAGTGTTCTTTGTCGGTAGTGATACAGATACACCTGGGAAAAGCAAAGTATGTCCTTCCCCTTGCACGTGGCACCTTCTGATTCCCCCTGAAGTTATATGGCTTTCTCCCTTTCCCTGTCTGCTTACATCCAACTTTAACCTCTCCCACAGAACAAATCCCTGCCCTATTCATGTTGGCAAGGAGACGTGCTGTTCTTGCAGCAGCATTGTCAAGAAAGCAACCAAAATAATAGTTGTACAAAAAGTAGTTGTACAAAGTTGTACAACAGCTGTGCAAGGGCGATCTAAATTGTACCTCTTCAGTGGCAGTTGCCCCCTGCAAGTGGCAAAATTTTATGAGCAGTTCTACAAGTTTTCGCTGTTAAGATTTCATTTCACAACCATATTTTAGCACGAGGAATAAAAAGTTGGCAGGGCCATTGGTTTCATTTCATCTAAAAAGTCTGATTTAAAATGCTTTCCTTCATATAAATGTGTTTCATAAACTTCAGCTGCCTGATTTCACTTTACATGTTGTCTATGTCAATCGCAAAAACTACATAAGATTTACAAGGCTGGTGCCATGCTATATATTGCTCTGTGGCATACTAGTTGTCAACTCCAAGGTCACAGCTCTATTAAAGGATCAAGATTTACAATAATGTTAGCAAAAGCGTGAATGCCTTCACACACACCTCCCTGTAGTTTACTTCCCTGAGGTCATCTGCGCAATTTCTCCCCCTGCCAAAAGCTACTAATCGAAAAATACTGCAGTCTCCTGAACAAAGTTCAAATGGACCTATCATGTTCCTTTAGTAATAAATCTTTGCTTTTGTTTAACACCTGCCTTCAAAGGACATAACCCTCTTTACCTGCAGTAATTAATTTAACTTCACAGCAGCCTTATTCGGTGATTCAAAACTGCTCCCCTTTTACAGATTGAAAAATTGAGGCATAAGGACATGCTTTGCTGAAGTCATACAGGAAGCCTGAAAAGACTTGGAGGCCCATCTCTGCCAGCCTCTTGTGTGCTAAGGCTGAAGGCTGTGCTCCCTTCTCATTCTCACAATGAGAAACGCAAGGTGAGAGCGTGATAACATCGGAACTGAGGCTTCTGTAATTCCTCATTTTAATGTACTGTCACTGCACGGACAGGGCACACCTGAAGCTGGCTATATAGCTGTGGTACAGTTCTAACTCACCCAAAACCACACAAGAAGTATTCTGCAGGCTGTTCTCCACTGAAGGTGTAGCTCTGTGTCTTCTTCTGGCTGTACTTGCACCGTTGAAGAGGTTACTGCCACCAACTGCCGCTTGTTACCCGTCATGCCTACTCAGATCTACCAGCCTGGCTTCCTACTTTATTTCAGGGAAGAAGATAATCAGTTAATCACTTTAAATAGGCTTTTTTCCCCAGCCTATGAAGAGCTCAGCTAACCCTTAGCAGCCTTTAATTGAGCAGGGATGAGCACAGGGGAGCAGTAACCTCCTGAGCTAGCACAGCCAAAGTTACTAGAGGAGGTCTTACCACACCACCTCAAATCCCAGGCCTGTCCTCTCCAGGGAGATCCCTGCCTAAGAAGTTCTGCCTCTTCTACCGGATTTTCTCCCGACCTGAAGCATGGGCAGTAAATATCACAGCCAAGACGACTTAGCTCCTACATTGGACCCATTGCTTCAAATGTGCTTCCCTTCAGTGTTTCAGATCTCCCAGTACTTAGAGGCATTCAAGTTTTGCCTCCATGTGACCTAAAAAGAAAGTATTTAGGGCAGTCATTGGCTTTTGCTTTGCTGTCTCTGCTTCTGCTTAGGAGAATACTACCATTTTTAGCTAATAGTAATGGTGATAGATCCTGAATAAGAAAACAGAGCCAGCATCCTTCACAGAATAGAATCATAGAATCATCTAGGTTGGAAGGGACCTTTAAGATCATCAAGTCCAACCATCAACCTAACACTGCCAAAACCACCACTAAACCATGTCACTAAACACTATGTCTACCCCTCTTTTAAATACTTTCAGGGATGGCAATTCCACTACTTCTCTGGGCAGCCTGTTCCCATGTTTGATAACTCTTTTGGTGAAGAATTTTTTCCTAATACCCACTCTGAATCTCCCCCAGTGCAACTTGAGGCCTTTTCCTCTTGTGCTACAGCTTGGTACAAGTGAGAAGAGACCGATCCCCGCTTCTCTACAACCTCCTTTCAGGTAGTTGTAGCAAGCCATAAGGTCTCCCCTGAGCCTCCTTTTCTCCAGACTAAACAACCCCAGTTCCCTCACCTGCTCCTGGTAGGACTTGTTCTCCAGACCCCTCACCAGCTTCGTTGCCCTTCTCTGGACACGCTCCAGCTCCTCAACGTCTTTCTTGTAGTGAGAGGCCCAAAACCAAACACAGCATTCGAGGTGGGGCCTCACCAGTGCCGAGTACCCCCCCATCCTCACCTGAAGAGAGACCTGAGCTTCACCTTCGTCTCCTGCAGTTCCCTCTCTCCCCTCCCAACCACGAGCCCAGACGGTGGGGTGGGCATTATCACAAGAGGCAGCTCTGGTGGACCGGTCAGAAGTGTCCATAGCTTTGAAACGCCTGGAGGCTGCAAGGCACTGGTGAACCACCAGAAGGTCTCCCCCACCTAGTGATCTCCTCTGAACATCTAGCTACCTTATAGGCAGCTGCAGTCACAAAGAAACAGGGAAAACGAAGGTGAAGGACGCATTTCTCCTCACAGAGCGGTCGTAAAGGCTTTCCTCTGAGGTAGGGCCTAGGCCGGGGGCCGGCGCCGGGGCCCGGG